CATCATCATCATCATCATCATCATCATCATCATCATCATCATCATCATCATCACTTTAATATTACTTCTACCTACTACTACGTGGTTCAAACCCATGACCTTTTGGTTACAACCCTGACAGCTTTTCTACTAGTTCACCGACGACACGTTTAAGTGAAGAATAAATCGGAGTAAAAGTAAAGTTGTTCCCGCTTCCGATCCGGATATTGGGGATTGCCTTGTAAGTGAGACAACTTCCTGGGCCTTTGGAATATTGTGGTGGTTGGCCAGTTCCTTTACATGTCGCCTTTACTTCCCCAAATCGAAGTCAGGTACCCTTTACTGCTGGGTGGGCAAGAGGGGGCGAAACAAATCCCTGTCCGAACCGAGGCTCGAACCCGGACTTTCCGCTTTGGAGACGAGCACATTAGCCGCTCCACCTTTAAAAATGTATGATATTCTATAATAAATTGCAACTGTTTACTTACCGGGTGTCTCCACCGTTTGATTTTTCTCAACATCCGCTTCCTTTTCTTTAGGACTATCAGTATCAACTTCTGTTTTCTCAGTTGGATCTGAAAAATAAGTGTTTCAGTTGTTGTTGCTGTTTTTTAATGTAGATGTTTTACGCCGCAACCAACACAACAAAGAACATTACGAATGCGAGCTTCAATCTTGTCTGTCACAGCTAAGGCTGGCTAAGAAGCTGAAACACTGACATACTCAATAAAAATTGGTAGCTTTTAAGGACAAGCGGGCTAACTCAGATTTCGGGAGTTTCCAGAAATCTTGACCTACATCAAAAGTGGGCATTTCCCTACCTATAGGAGAAATTTGGTTTCATCGGTGTGTATATTTGTTTGGTTATAGTAAAAGGAATAAGGATCCAAAAACTTAAACATCGTTTTTTTCAAAACTGGCATTTTTCGGGACAGCCCCCTTGTGCTTAAAAGCGACCAATTATGCCCACAAGGGAATCGAACGGGGCTTCTGTGCGTGTCAGCAAAGAGCCTAATCACTACTCCACAGGCGCTGATGAAAAATTAGAGCAGGAAGGAGTAATCCTCACATTTTAAAAGAGTAGAGACTTGGGTTTCGTTGGAAAATCAACTGTGTCAGATTCGATTTCAAATGAGATTTGATTTTTGTCATCTTATCAGTAAAAATATTTTTCCCTATCTCAGTTTCATGCTGCTCTTTGTAACATTAAAGACTAAACATTTGAAAGGTGTATATTTGTGTACGTTTTGTGTGGGTGTGTGTTTGTGTGTGTGTGTGTGTGTGTGTGTGTGTGTGTGTGTGTGTGTGTGTGTGTGTATGTGTTAGCGTGTGTGTGCGTAGACCTGAACATTAACGACCACTATTCAGAAGAAGAAAAAAAAACCATGTAAAAACACGAGGGCAATTGAAAAACAAAAGACAAAAAAAAGTTTACACTCCTTGATATCGAATGTGCTTAAAGCACCTGAAACACTGAGATTTGTGTTTGTGTAAAGGAGTGGGGGGGGGGGGGGGGGGTGACAAGTAAGAGTCTCAGCGTCGGAGGAAAAAAGTTTACTTATAAACAGGTAAAGCATCTTACAAAGTAAGAAAATATGTGTGGCATCGTAGTGAAATTCTGAGATCGTCAAAAAATTAAAAAATGAAGAAACCGCATTTTCTGGCCATCGGGCAACTTCATCCTTTTTGTTCTCTATTTTTCCCTTTTTAGGGGAATCAAAACTGTTTGTAGCCAATAATCTCTAAAATCTTTAGGCGCTTTGACCACAATACCTTTTTTGGCTTTCATATCCTTTAGCTCATTATTTTCCTGACTGCCATTTATCTGGGCGTCTTGCTTGCCATCTGTTCGGCCAGCAAGCCAGTCGTCAATGTTCACTCGTGGCTCTTTGCTATGTCGTGTAGACCAAGTCAAGCGCTGAATCTAAACATGATGTAATAAAATGTGGAATTTGAGGGTAAAGTAAAGGCGGAGGGGCAGGAGAAGGGGGAAAAAGGGGAAGGGGAAAATGGTGGTTGGAAGGGGGGGGGGGGTGAAAAGTAAAAGTAAGAGGAGAGGGAGAAGAAGGAGAGCGGGGGTGGGATGGAGGAGGCGAGAGGGGAAAGGGACGAGGTTGATTCTGTTAGTGGAGGATAAGTAGATGGAAAAGAAGGTATAGGTAATGATGAAGGAGGAGGAGGATGGGTGAGGGGATGTGGAGAAAGATATGAATAGGCATAACAAGAAGAAGGAAGGATAGGAAGAGAAGCATCTGGGGCAGGGGGAGGAGGATTTGGAGGAGGAGGAGGATTTGGAGGGGGAAGAGGAGGAGGAGGAGGAGGAGGAGGAGGAGGAGGAGAGGAATATATATAAAGATAAATGAGGAATGGAATGAAGAGAGGGAGAGGAGGATAAGAGACAGAAGAAGTGGAGAACGAGGAGGAAGAGGGGTGGAGGAGGAGGATATGAAGACAGATGGGCGGGGGAGGAAGAGAAAGAACCGGAGAAGGAGCAGGAGGATTAGAAGTCATATCAGGCTAGGTAGAAAGAGTAAGAAGACAATCCTATCACGTACGCATTTGTCATCCACCGGGTCGGTAAGCAGCGTAACCACAACGGCCACTATTGTTGACAGGGCACACAAGAAGATAGAAAAGTACAGGTAGTTGAAGTTCTTGACAATGGCTGGCGTTGGGTCGGGCTCATCACTACCACAAGGTGGACTCTGGTAGGAGTACTGGACAGCAAAACGTATGATGCCGGTGACGAATCCCACTATAAGGGCTGAAAACGCTCCCTGGGAAAATGAAATAAGGAATTCGATTTATCATTTCAGCCTTAGTAGAAGGAATTCGATTTATCATTTCAGTCTTAGTAGAAGGAATTCGATTTATCATTTCAGTCTTAGTAGAAGGAATCCGATTTATCATTTCAGTCTTAGTAGAAGGAATTCGATTTATCATTTCAGTCTTAGTAGAAGGAATTCGATTTATCATTTCAGTCTTAGTAGAAGGAATTCGATTTATCATTTCAGTCTTAGTAGAAGGAATTCGATTTATCATTTCAGTCTTAGTAGAAGGAATTCGATTTATCATTTCAGTCTTAGTAGAAGGAATTCGATTTATCATTTCAGTCTTAGTAGAAGGAATTCGATTTATCATTTCAGTCTTAGTAGAAGGAATTCGATTTATCATTTCAGTCTTAGTAGAAGGAATTCGATTTATCATTTCAGTCTTAGTAGAAGGAATTCGATTTATCATTTCAGTCTTAGTAGAGGGAATTCGATTTATCATTTGTGAAGCGTGCTGACAAAACGAGTTACTTCTCAGATTCAAGCATTAAAGAAACAGATAAATCACGCTTATATGTGAAGTTTTTACAGTGTTTTAGTATGAAACAATAAAAGACAGGTTATAGTTAAAGAATATGGCATCAATTGAAAATCTACAAGTTTGACCCTAATGTCGATTTTTGGCCACTATCTCCATTTCTTGATTGCGAGAAGTAACTCATTTTGTCAGCATGACTCACATTTCAGTCTTAGTAGAAGACAAAGAGAAGGCTTTACGCTGTAAAATACAGCAGCCGGCAGAAAACAAACTGTTTACATCAAGCCTGAGTGAACTAGGTTTTTTTTACGACATAACCAGTTAAACATGATATTATCTAAATCGCATTAGAGATATTTAAATGTGTTACGATGTAATATAAATAATTTATTACAAGAGTCGTGGTGCAAGATCACGAGTTTCAACGAGTGAATACAACTGGCAATTTCACAAGTAGGATGAATCATGGTCTAACACCACAACGAGAGTAATAATTAATTTATACCATACTGATATCAGCAGGCGAAATACATTTGAATGAAACTCTCTCTCTCTCTCTCTCTCTCTCTCTCTCTGTCTCTGTCTCTCCCTCTCTCTCTGTCTCTCTCTTCCCCTCTCTCTCTCCTTCTCTCCCTCTCTTCCTCTTTCTCACTCTCTCTTTCTACTCTCTATCTCTCCACTATTAATCTCTCACTCTCAATTCCTCTTGCTCTCTCTCTCTTTCTCCTTATTCTGTCTCTCTATCTATCTATCTCTCATACTCACACACACAAACATATGATGTAACATGATTTAAACACACACACACACACACATACACACACACACACACACACACAAACACACACAAAAACCACACACACACACAAACCACACACACACACACA